ATCTGGTTTCTGAGGGCTGGTGGGTTTGAACTACAGACCTTTCAGTTAGTATAGTGCTTATCCTACAGCACCACACCAGGACTATATATATATATATATATATAGTGGTGGTGGTTATGTGCCATGGAGTCTGTTCCAACTCATTGACTCATAGCGACCCTGTACAGAGTTTCAGAAGGTGTAAATCTTTACGGGAGCAGAAAGCCACTACTTAAATAAGCAGTCAATAAATATTTGTTCTGCTAAATGAACAAAGTAAAGAGCAGAAGGAGGCTACTTTCTCTAGAGTCCTTCTTTAATCATTTCACACACACACTCACCCCTCTTCCCGTGACCTCTGGTGCACTGTTAAATTAGGGAGGAAAATCAATCAGCTAAGGAGTGATCAGTAAAATATTTACTGATGAAGATCAAAGACCACAGCCTTTGGTATGGATGGCATCTCAATGTAAAGAAACCAAAAATCCTCACCACTGGACCAAAAAACATTATCAAGGAGAAAAGATTGAAGTTGTCAAGGACTTCATTCTTGGATCAACTATCATCAACACTCACGGAAGCAGCAGTCAAGAAATCAAACGACGTATTGCATTAGGCAAATCTGCTGCACAAGACCTTTTTAAAGTGTTGAAAAGCAGAGATGTCAGTTGAGAACTAAGGTACGCCTGACACAAGCCATGGTATTTTCAATAACCTCATATGCATGTGAAAGTTGGACAGTAATAAGTAAGACCCTAGAAGAATTGATGCTTTTGAGTTATGGTGTTGGAGGAGAATACTGAAAGTGCCATGGACTGCCAAAAGAACCAATAGATCTGTTTTGGAAGAAGTGCAGCCAGAGTGCTCCTTGGAGGCCAAGATGGCCAAACGTCATCTCTCATACTTAGGACATATTGTCAGGAGGGACCAATCGCTGGAGAAGGATATCATGTTTGGTAAGGTGAAAGGTCAGAGAAAAAGAGGAAGACCCCCAACGAAATGGATTGGCCAAGTGGCAGCATCAGTGGACTCAAGCGTGGCACAATAGTGAGGTTGGCCCAGGGTCGGGCAGTGTTTCATTCGCTAACAACAAGGAGTGATCATGAATGGGCTTAACTTCCTACCAGAAAGGCTGAGTTTGAGTCAAACGCGTGAGCCCTAACTCTGTTCTAACAACTTTAATTTAGCGCACTATGCTCCACACGAAGAAAACTGCTAGCAGTCCAATTTTCGCTTTAGGAAACAACAACTTCTCAGTAATCTGGTTAATCAATGTAACGAGAAACCCAGGTTAAGGAACTTGAACTGGAAAAAGTTTAGGATCCCGCCCCGCATGCGCTCTACGCCGGCAATGTAGCAACTACGGCTGCGCGAATCGGCATCCTGGCTCTCCCTCGTCACATGTTGGAGGACCGCGGCGTGTCGGCGGCCGTGGCGGCAGCGACGGCAAGCCGTGCGGCGACCGGAGGGTTTCCGGTTCCGGTGTAACGTTCGGGCTCCGTCTCAGGGGCTGAAGTTTGTGAGGTGAGTAGTGGCCCCGGGCCCAGAGAAGGTATCCTGCAGCACAAGTGATTGGGCCTGGGTTCAGTTCAAGAGTAGGGCTAGGGCGGGAGTGCTCAGCGGGAAGGAGGCTGAGAGAAGTACAAGTTCAGTGGAAGACGAGGTTGGAATGGGATTGTTCAGAGGTAAAGGGCGGGGGAGAGAAGGGACGGGGTGGGGGGGACCAGATTTGAGGTGAAGAGTTTGTCGGGAGTCGTTTGGAGTTTAAGCCAAAAGAGACAGGGAAAGAGTAAAAACAGAAGAAAGAGGATTTCAGAATACTCTGGTGGTAGCAAAGAGAGCATGGAGTAAGGAATTCCTTCAGAAGATTGAAATCGGCTACCTGCTCATTCCGGGATCATTCTACCTGGATGCCATCTCCTCCCCTCCTCCACGTATAGTTCTTCTTGTTCATTTGTCTAGGAATAGAGCTATGTACTCTTGAAATTTTTATTTTTGTCCACTGGTTGTTTGGTTTGCACATCACTTTATGGAGGATTGGGTTTAATTTGAATACGTTTGTTACGATAGAGCTTGGGCATGCATTTCATCTAATGATAACGGTACCTCATTTATTGCTTTGGGCTTTCAAATTGATTTTATTTTCTAGTGGAATGTAAGCACCATTTCAGTAGAATTCTTGTCTAAGTTTTCTTCACTGCTGTATCTTCAGTGCCTAGTACTCTGCTTGGTACTTGGTTGCTCAAGAAATACTTACTGATTGAATAAGTGTGATGTAGATATGACAGTTTCCCTCGTTTTGTAAGATGAGGAAACTAAAGCTCAGAGGAATTCTTTTGCCCATGTGTGAATGTAAATCTGGAGTGTGGTGTCCAGTGTTCATTGTTCTGTCTATCCTGTTGAGCTTTTTTTCTTCACTCTCTTGCCCAGAGATGTGTACTCATTGTGGTACCTGGATTTGCCTCTGGTTTTTGTTCTGATTAATGAATAATTAATATGTAGACAAAGGAGCCCTCGTGGGGTACTATTATTAAGCACTTGACTAAGTGAAAAGTTGACAGTCATGGCTCCTTGAATGAAAGACCTGGCAATCTGCTTCCATACAGATTTGTTGCTGTAGTTAAATGTAGTCTAGTTGGTTCTGACTCATAGTGACCCTGTGTAAGGGTTTCTGAGGAGCATTAGTTGAGCTTAGAAAACCCTATGGGGCAGTTTTTTTCCATTACAAGGAGTTGCTTTGAGTTGAAATCAACTTGAGAGCACCAAACAACAGCAATATATAGATATTGGTAAGTGACACTGCTATCTCTTTGCAGGGGAAAATAGAGCCACCTTGGACTTATCATTTAACTTGTCACAGAAGCATATATTCTGCTTTTATGCAATCTTTCTCCCTTAGTTTAATGACTAATGTAGTAATGTTATTTGGTTATATGAAAATTAAAGATATCCTGTAAAGGGTAAACAACTGAGGATAATCAGACTGTATCTTTTAGGAGAAAAGATGTCTTAAAACATCATGAAACATTGATTCCCAAATCAGACCCTGATGTGTGGTGCTCCTGGGAAGTTAGCTTGGAAATAGAGGTTAGTACAGTATATTGACCTTTCTGGTCCTAGTGTGGTGTTGTATGATAAGTACTGGACTGCTAACTACAAGGTCAGTAGTTCAAACCCACTAGCTGCTCCTCGGAAACCCTATACAGGATCACTGTGAGTTGGAACTGACTTGGTGCTTAACAAATAACAACAATATGGAGGATATCATAGAAATAAAATTTTGTCTGTGCTTATGAGGAGTTTTGAAATTTAGGTAGAAAACCAAAATATAAACAGGAACACTGTTTAAAAATTATGCTTACATTAGTAATAAGTTAATGATTTTTGTGGGGAGTTATGACAACTCTGACTACAAACTGTACTAGAAAAGGGACAAGACAGGTAAACCACCATTATTTACTCATCACCAGCCACTTCACATTGCTCTTCCTCTCTGACTAACCACTCAGAGTTAGATCAGACAGACCACATCCCTTATCACCTTAAGCTGGTTCAAAATATCCCTGGCCACCTGAGACCAGGTCATAGGAGACCAGCTATAGGTTTTAGGAGTCTGCACAACTCCCTGAACTTCAGAGCAGCATGCCTCCCTTTTTCTAGCTATGTAGTCCACTGAGACTAGGTTACAACTAGAAGGACTCTCTCCTTTATCAACTGTGCATGCAGCCTTTCCCTGACCACCAGCCAACCAGAGCTGGATCTATGCAAACTGACTCTACTACCAGCCCCTCCCTGCTGGCTCATTAATTGCTCCTGTGCATTCATTAATTCTCTAAATGGCTCACAAAATTCACGGAAACTATTACCTATACTAGGAGACCTGGTTGTGCAGTAGTAAGTTAAGGCTGCTAACCAAAAAGTCAGTGATTTGAAACTACCAGCTGCTCTGCAGGAAAACGATGAGGCAGTCTGTTTCCATAAAGATTTACAGCCCTGGAAACCATATTCCATATATTACTCTGTTCTATTGTGACACTATAGGGTAAGTATTAGACTACAATGTAAATGGTTCAGTCCCGTGAGCTGTTCCTTGGAAACCCTATACAGAGTTGCTTTGAGCTGTAACTGACTTGATGTCACTTAACACACAACAACAACTCTGTCTTATTAGAGTCCTGGTGTGGTGCTATAGGATAAGCACTTGATTTGTTAACCGCAAGGTCAGCAGTTTCTCAGAAACTCTATAGAGGGCTGCTATGAGTTGGAACCAACTTAACAGAACTTAACAACAACTCTGTCTTGCAGTCGGCATTGACTCAGCAGTGAGGGTTTGGGGTGGTGCTATGGGATAAGCTTTGGACTGCTAACCACAAGGTAAGCAGTTCAAACGCAACAACTACTCTGCAGGAGAAAGATGAGGCTTTCAGTTCCCATAAAGTTTATAGCCTTTGAAATCCTATGTAGGATCACTATGAATTGGAATTGACTCAGTGGCAGTGGGTTTCGGATATCCATTTATTAGAACTAGAAAGAATACAAGCAAAATGATGCATTAGGCAAAAGCTAATGGCACCTCCATTTTTTCCAGAGACATGCTACCTTCTCCCATTCATGGGTATTCTCACCAATCCAGGAGACCACACCAAGGTTCTGGGTTCCTTAATCATTGGGACCTCAATAAATGTGTATAATTTGGGCCTTGATGTATAGTTATGATTGATCCAATCAATTAATATGCATAACTGCATCAGGTCCTTACTCTTCCAAGTGTAGATTCTTTGCCTGGCTATTTAGGAAACAAAAGCATCTTGATTGCTCTGGTTGTTCTCAGAAACAGTTAAAGAGCCAAACTAGTTCTTTGTCCTCCCACAAGAGTCTTTTATGGTAGTCTTTTCTCTACTAGCTAAAAGGCAAAAGACTAGAGATGAAAAAGGAGAAAGCGTACATTCAGGAGGGTATTTGTTTCTTGGCTGAAGCATTATTCTGATCAGGTAGCTGTCAGAGATGGGATAGAACAAGAGAGAAAATTGATTCTGTGGTACAGTATTCCCACTGGGATGAATATGACTACAGAGAAATGTGGCAGAACATGCTTTAAGGATTTTGAGCTCTAATACACGATCACTAACCTGGATAACCCACCTTTATTTGCATCCTTTAAAAGAAAAGAAAAGAAACCCATAAGTCAAAGCTCTGTTAGAAAATGTTGTTAGGTGTAGTAGAGTCGGTTCTGATCCATAGAGACCCTATGCACAACAGAATGAAACACCTCCCAGTCCTGTGCCATCCTCACAATTGCTGCTATGCTTAAGCCATTGTTGCTATCACTGTGCCAATCCGTCTCATTGGGAGTCTCCCTCTTTTTCATTGTCCCTCCACTTTACCAAGCATAATGCCCTTCTCCAGCAACTGGTCCCTCCTGAGAGATGATGTCTGGCCATCTTGACTTCTAAGGAGCATTCTGGATGCACTTCTTCCAACACAGATTTGTTTGTTCTTCTTGCAGTCCACCTCCGTAGAAGTGGGAATAGAAAAGCTGACCTCTGGAGTGACTTTTTCAGTCTTATGTTCATGTTATATATTTGCCAGTTCTTGTTGATATGACAGAATCTCGTTAGATTAGGTGAATCCTAGGGTTTGCTTTTTTGTTTATTACACAGATGTCACATCACTGAGTTAGGGTTTAAAATGAAATAGAGTCTCGATCTTTCTGCTTTCACACATGGTACTTAGAGAAAGTTTTGACTTCAAGTGAAATAGAGGAATTTATCTAGGGATTGAGAATATGATTGGGGAAGGTATTCTTTACGTAGTAACCATTATCCTAGATCTAATCTTCCCCTGTCCTTTAACCAAACTGGTTTCTTTTTAGGTGCAGTATTGAGTTCCATTTGAGCTAGTCTCCCTTTTTCCCAAAGAATGGCGCTGTCTAAGAGAGAGCTAGATGAGCTGAAACCATGGATAGAAAAGACAGTGAAGAGGGTGCTGGGTTTCTCAGAGCCCACAGTGGTCACAGCAGCATTGAACTGTGTGGGGAAGGGAATGGACAAGAAGAAGGCAGCTGGTATGTATTCTTCTGAACCTTTTGACTTTGCATTTTGGATGACGCCAAACTCTGTTTGGAATGTCCCCCAAATTCTCTTTTGATTATGCACATGTAAGAAAAAGGTCAAAGTCACATTTAATTCTCCTGCATTATAATGGAAATAGTCTAAATAACTTAATTCTTTTGCTCTAAATATTTTTTGTATTATTTGGGATGTATTTTGAATCTTAGAGTGACTCCCTTTAGTCAATATACTAAGTCACCAAAGTTTTACTTAAGAAATATGCTAAAGTTAGATAGGTATATTTTTATATATTCAGATTGACATGTAAACATACAGAAGTCTTGTAAAAACACATGAAAAGGATTGAGGGAGGTAGATTTTGTTAAATGATAATCAACCTATCACTTGATATTTGAGAAAAGTTAAATTGATTATTCTTTCTTAACTGTAACATTCAACCGTATTAAGGTATTCTAGCTATGCTACTTCATACACCCAAAAATTATAACTGTATTTTTACCTTATAGGGCAAGCTCATTCAATGTAAGAGTGTTTGTGGGAATCTTAACAAAAAATTGTAATAAAACATTTGCCCCCTTCCAGGGGAATAAACTTTCAATGTTGATGGCTTTTATATTTTTAATATTGGATAAAGTATTTCAACCCTATCACCTTTTCACCCTTTTGTTTTGTTTTGTTACTATCAGACCATCTGAAACCTTTTCTTGATGATTCTACTCTTCGATTTGTGGATAAACTGTTTGAGGCCGTGGAGGAAGGCCGAAGTTCTAGGCATTCCAAATCTAGCAGTGATAGGAGCAGAAAACGAGAACTAAAGGTAAGTTACAGTTGCTATCTAAAGAGCTTAGGAGTATTTTGAATGGCAATAATGTTGCCAAGCTTACCTTGCTCAACACTTTGAATATTTTCAGTTATTAGAATATCACTATTGGACTATCTAATGTTCAACAGGGGTACTTAGTCATTAAAGTAGAGAGGGTAAACTTGTATCATGATCTTATGATAAAATATCTAACCACATCATGGGTTGAAATATTCCAAAGAAATAATTGATAGCTTTCCTCTTTATTCATATATGGTTAAGAGTTTTGGTTCTCATGTCTTCCCTTCGCCCGCTTACTATTATAAATTGATCGTTCTAAGATGGCATGCTTTTATTTACATGAAGTCTAATATGTTGCTTCAGAGTGTGACTCCCATGCTAACTGAGCTGTATAGACCATATTGTTCCTCTATACAGGTTTATTTGCAATGGACTTGTAAATAGGATGCATAAAAACAGCTTTTACTTAGATGTCTTGAGAGCCTACAGTTGGTTGTAAAGTATAATGTAGGTTGTTTGGCTCTATGAATGAATAGGAACCAATGAAGTGGTCATCCAAAACTCCTTACTTACTATGCTTTTAATTGTATAATCTCTAATTGGTCTCGTTGCCTTTTTTAATATTAGCTGCACAGACTAACTGATCTCTTTCTCATTTCTTTCTGTCTCTATTTTTAAAAAATCTTTCTGTGACTCTAGTCAGATCTTCCAAGGTGCTTTTGATACCTTGGCTACCTCATTGTTTTTCCTGAGGCACAAAGAGTGGATTAGCAATTTCTGCTTGGTCCCTTGGACAGGCTATGGAACTAAAAAAAACAGACTTATGTGCCTTTTGTGTTTAGGGCATTATAGGGTGATTAGAGAAATGAGAATATCTTTGTCTTAAAAGACTTTGTAATTAATGTGTGTGTGGGTGGAGGCAATAAAATTCAGTCACAAAATATAAAATCTGAATAGTAGATTCATGTACGTTTTACAACTTCCTTTTGAGTTGAATTTAGAATTTCAAACTTGAATTTTGTTATGTTTAAGGGGGAGTGATTGATTCACAGTACACACAGATCTATGCAGTAAAGATTATGTTATGATAAAGCATGCTACTTTATAAGTGTGAGGGCATGCTGTGAATGAAGTGACCACATTGGGTGGGATTAATCCAAATGGTTTCTTGAAGGAGATAACTAGAATAGTCTTGGGATATGGGTCCCATTTTTGGTCCATGCAGATCCCCACCCCACACAATATATTATGGGAGAGTCCTTTTTCTTGAACTGTAGGAGTTCCAGGAAGCGCTCGCCCCTGGCTGAGGATATGTCCTTGCAAAACACGAGCCCTCCTAGTGAAGAGGGGATGTCACCCAAAGCCTACCACCGGTGTGTACATTTGCTTTTTCCCATTGTCCCTTAGAGTTGGCCACTCTTGGTCCTGTTAAATTCACCTTGCAAATTAGTCAACATATTTGAGTTCCCATTGTTTGGTGAGAACAAAGTGTTATTGGGGAATACTGAGGAAAAAAGAAAAAGCCCCTGTCCTGGAAGAACTTAGACTATATTTGGGAGAAAGTACTAACATTGAAAGACTTAACACTTGGCAAACAGAATATCAACAGTGTAACTTAATGCGAACCAAGTTCATAAGCACTAAGAGGATGTGAAACAAAAAGGTTTGATCAGAGAGAGTAGGATGAGGTTACTAATGAGGAAAACTTCTGGAGGAGGTGAGTTTAGGGCAGGATGTGGAATTGTAGTTGTGGGAACATTGAGGGAGGGTCATTACAATTGTGAGCTGTAGTATTTGCAAAGACCTTGAGATAGGAACATTTATAAAAATGTGGGGATGAAATTTGCTTGACTGGAAAAGGAAAATGATGAAGTTGGGTCAATTGGTCCACTTGGTGGAGGGTCTAGAAGATCCTGGCTTCTGGCAAGTAGCCATTTGCAGGGTTGTGTCATATACCTCTGGGAAAAGCTACAAAATGCTGGTAGCGACTAGGGTGATTTTTTTCCATCTCCCCATGGGCGGGGAAACAGCTCTTCTTTATTTTGGGTTCCCTCAGGAGGTGTTTGGTGATGACTCTGAGATCTCCAAGGAATCATCAGGAGTAAAGAAGCGTCGGATACCTCGCTTTGAAGAGGTGGAAGAAGAGCCAGAGGTGATCCCTGGGCCTCCATCAGAGAGCCCTGGCATGTTAACTAAACTCCAGGTTTGTAATTAGGGACTGGAAGCAAAGTGATTTATGAATTGAAGAAGCAAGGTGTACATGGATCCAGATATGTTCTGATCTTGGTTTGACTTAGTGTTTATCACTGGAGAAATTTTATTTTTTGTTTTATATTTTAACATTCCTTGGGTTTAACCAGGAGTATTCCAGTTGAAGGCTTTTGAAGTAGTATGTCCTGAGTGCCACCGATGTGGTGAGCAGCGACCTGGAGGTGTTATCTGCATTCTTATTTGCTCAGTTATCTGCCTCATTGGGTTATTGAGAAAATTCATTAAAATAATCAGAATATAGTTTACAGAAGAGAATAATTTCCAAATATAATGCAATATAGATGTAATTCACTTTTTTCAAATTGGTGTCATCTTTTTGAACAGAAAATATCTATGTTTTTTAACTGGTCACCTAAACAATGTGATACCATATAAGCAATAAATATTTCTTATGCTATTTAAATGTTTTGATGGGAAATAGAATATAGACATATGCAAGTAGGCTTCAAAAAGCTCACAGGAAAATAGAATTAAAAGATAGTGGTGGGGGAAAGATAGTGGATTTTTCTAAGAACTTTTTGAAGCCCCTTGGTATGTGTATGGAGTCCTGGTGTGGCACTGCAGGATAATGTGCTGGATTGCAAAGTCAGTTTGAGCTGCAAAGTCAGCAGTTCAGATCCCCCAGTCACAGGGTTGCTATAAGTCAAACCGACTCGATGGCACTTAACAACAATGTGTGCATGCTTGCACACATGCTAATATATGTATGAGTCCTGGTGTGGTGCTATGGGATAAAGCACTGGACTGCAAGGCCAGTTTGAACCACTAGGTCTGTGGTTCAAACTCACTAGCTACTCCTTGGAAACCTTATTACAGGGTTGGCATTAGTTGGAACTGACTCGACAGCACTTAACAACATCACAACAAAGTATGGGTATATATGCTTTTTATGTATGCATTTGTTTATGTATGCATAAAATATTTCTGAAGGAAATAAACTGATGATGTTTTTATAGGAGTAGATGGCTTCACAATATACCCATTTGTACTTTTTGTCCCCAAGAGCCCTGGTGGCATAGTGGTTAAATGCTTGAGTACTAACCAAAAGTCGGCGGTTTGAACCCACTAGCCACCCTGTGGGAGAAAGAGGTGGCAACCTGCTTCCATAAAGATTGTTGTTGTTAAGTGCTGTGTTATTAAGTGTGTTCCAAGAATCAGCTGGTGAGTTTGAACTGCCTACCTTATGGTTCAAACCAACTGTTTTCCAGTATTTATCCTAGTGTACCACACCAGGACTCTAAAGATTGTAACCTGGGAAACCCTGTGGAGCAATTCTGCTCTGTCTTATAAGGTCACTATGAGTTGGAATCAACTCAACAGCAGTGACTTTTTTTTTTTTGCTACTTTTTGCATTTTGTACAACTAGGCAATAAGGTTGGTGGTTTAAACCCACCAGCTGCTCCTCAGAAAACCTATACAGGGTTGCTTTGAGTCAGAATTCAATGATACTTAGTAAAAACATCAACAATATATTTCCTACTAAAAAAAAAAGTTTAAAATAGGATTTAAAAAATTCTTGAAAGACATTAAAATCAGATCTCTTGGAAAATGTGGAAAGGTATTTGACTGAATCCTGAACACTCACCATTTCAGACTTATTTAGGACAAAAGAAGGGGTTTACAGAAACTAGGGAACAGGTCTTTGTACTACCACCTTTGGTTTCCTAAATTAAGAATTCATGGATCAATTCAGGGAATTAAAAAAAAAAATTATGTAAGTATAATAATTTATGCAGGTTTTATTAGGAGTTTTACATGTATTTTTTAATGTTCAATACTAGCCATTAAGATAAATAAGATTTTTCCTTTTTTAGGCACTTGGAACCTTACATATTAAATAATGTGTCCAAGGCCACACAGATATTAAGTGACAGTGTTAAGATTCAATGTCAGGTTTTAATTATCAAGCTACCCCAGCATGCCAATCCTGCCTTGAGAAAGTGAGTTGAAAAATTCCAGTGATCAATTCTGGAAACTTACCTTTTGCTAAACTTTCTAGCCTTTGGTACAGAAATAATGGAGCTTATAGAAAAATTTAGGTCTTAAGAGGTCCAAATAGGAACCTGAGAGCTGTTTGGGTTTAGAAACCTGTTAGGTGAAATAAAAAGTTGTTAAAGTTCTTTGACTTTTCTTTTTCTGGAGGGCAGATCAAACAGATGATGGAGGCAGCAACACGGCAAATTGAGGAGAGGAAAAAACAACTGAGCTTCATTAGCCCCCCTACACCTCAGGTATTGTGCCCAGATTAAAAAGAAAAATCTCTAGCATAGAATTTCTGGCTTTCCACTCAAATAAGAGTCCAAAAGTGATTGTATCTACCATAATTTACTATAATCTACCACTTTGGGACACTGTTCTTATTTATCTGCCTGTCTCTATTCCTCTGATCTCCTTTCTCTGTCTTAACAGCCAAAGACTCCTTCTTCCTCCCAACCAGAGCGACTTCCAATTGGCAACACTATTCAGCCCTCTCAGGCTGCCACCTTCATGAATGATGCCATTGAGAAGGCAAGGAAAGCAGCTGAACTACAAGCCCGCATCCAAGCTCAGCTGGCACTAAAGCCAGGGCTCATTGGCAATGCCAACATGGTGGGTCTGGCCAATCTCCACGCCATGGGCATTGCTCCTCCGTGAGTATCTATTTCATGGAACCTTTTGTCATTTTTGAAGTTTGTAAAGCATTAAATAACCTTTGAATGTTATTGATTCTTGTCTTCCAAAGAACCTAAATGACATCTTATAGTTTCATATTTCTTGGATATGATCAATAAATAGCAGTTAAATATATTCTGTTGTCTTCCTTGTTGTAGCATTTATTGCCATCTCCCACTTTTTTTTAAACCAGAGCACATTGATTGAGTCTAGATTTGGGGGTTCTTTACAACTGGGTAAAGATTATAGGCTCTATTTTTATTGCCTGCGATTGCCATGGCATCCCATGTCTGGTTCAAGAGTTCAGGGGTAAAGAAAGATAAAATTACAAATTCTTAGCACTTTATAATTTAAACTGTAATACATTTGATTGTGATAATTACCTAGTTTGATAAGTGTTTTCAGTCAACCTGTTATTTATTTCAGTTTCTGTTATTTGATTACTTTATTATTCCATAAGGGACTTATTTCTTTATGGGCTGTTTTTCAGGAAAGTGGAGTTAAAAGATCAAACAAAGCCAACACCCCTGATTCTAGATGAGCAGGGTCGCACTGTAGATGCAACAGGCAAAGAGATTGAACTCACACACCGCATGCCTACTCTGAAAGCCAATATTCGTGCTGTGAAGAGGGAACAGTTCAAGCAACAGCTAAAAGAAAAGCCATCAGAAGATATGGAGTCCAATACTTTTTTTGATCCCCGAGTCTCAATTGCTCCTTCCCAGCGTCAGAGACGTACTTTCAAATTCCATGACAAGGGCAAATTTGAGAAGATTGCCCAACGATTACGGACAAAGGTATGTGGCTTAGAGTAAAATCCACATTAAAAAAAGTTAGGAAGCTGACAGCAGAAATATTTTCAACTCAGTTCTCAATGTTTTAGGGCATTAAATAAACAAGATGAGTTAAAGTAATCAATTTTTAAAATACTGTAGTTCTTCCTGAAATTCTTGTTTTTTAACGGATTTGTTTTCCTAATTACATTCTACTTAGGTGTAAATAAAATTGAGTTTTAAAATCCTCAGTATAAAGTGACAGTTGTTGTCGTTAAGTGCTGTTGAGTTGATTCCGACCCATAGCGACCCTGTGTAGGGTTTCTAGGGAGCAGCTAGTGAGCTTGAACCGCCACCTTGCAGTTCAAACAGCTTTGCAGTCTGGCGCATTAACCCACAGCGCCACACCAGGACTCCACAAGTTTCAGTAGAGAGAAATAATTCAGAAGATAATTCTGGGTGACAGGAAAGTTAGCCTGGAGGTACAATTTATTACAGATAATCACACACCTGCATAGTTGAATTTACTATATATTCTATTGGCCTTTCCCTCTTCCACACCAGGACTCCTTTCCCTTCCCTTTCTCTTCTCAGAATGAGGTGTTTGTTGAGTTTCATTTCTGCATGTTTGCTACAGGTACTATGGGGTGAAGGAATAGAGGTGTATGTAAATGAACTAAGTAAAGGATAAAATACTTAACATTTTTAACTAACTTAAACTAGTATAATTCTGTTTTCAAATTCATTCAACAGTCTCACATAGATAGTGATTACTGAATTGGACAGCACAAATAAAGAACACTTTCATTTTCTCTAAGCTTTTGGAAATTATGAATTGATTGTATTTGATATTGCTGCTGTGACTCATAGTGACCCTGTATAGGGTTTCCGAGAAATGGCTGGTGGGTTTGAACCACTGATCTTGCAGTTCAAACTGATCTTTTTTTTTTTTTCTTAAATGTTTTATTGTGAATTATGTGATAATTTACATGGAAGAACATTAGCTGTTTTTTTTTTTTATTGTTGTTGTTTTTTAATTTAAGGTTTTTATTGTGGATTGAGTGAAAGTTTACAGGGCATATCATCAGTTTCACATTCAACCATTCATATAACTTATTTCATTACATTGATTATAATCCCCACCATGTACCATCAGTTAAAAGTATTTCTCTCTATCCACTTTAGCTTTTTAAAAAACACACAAACAAAAAAACCCACTCAAGCATATATAATAATTTACATCTCCAAAGGGCACATTCTGTAAGTCTGCTCCTGGCTACCAGTTCTTAGA